GTTTTTTTTTTTTTTTTTTCTTGCGTTATGCGGGCCTCTCACTGTTGTGGCCTCTCCCATTTGCGGTGCACAGGCTCCGGACGCGCAGGCTCAGCGGCCACGGCTCACGGGCCCAGCCGCTCCGCGGCATGTGGGATCCTCCCGAAACGGGGCACGAACCCACGTCTCCTGCATCGGCAGGCGGACTCTCAAGCACTGCGCCACCAGGGAAGCCCCAGGTGAGTTTTAAAGAAAATTTCCATAACATTCAAATTTAATACATAAATTGGTGTTCTTTCAAAACACTGATTTCAAAATGCCAGCAAAATAATTGACGTTACAGTTATGAAAACATCGCTTGCCTTCGTTACATGCCTGCATAAAGGAATTTTCGTTGAATCACATTTCCAAATGTGAAATGGTCACATACATTGGTAATCCAGACTACAAGAAATAAGTTCACTATGTTAACTTATTTTAAGTAAAAATAAGTTCTAACCTGACCAAGTTCTTCATTAAGGTCTGATGTGTTAACTAGAGCTCCTTCATTGATTTCTTCATCATAAAAGTCCTTATCCCATGAAATGAAGAAGGAGCCCAAGAATTTTTGCATTTCTACTGTGACATACATGGAGACAGGAATGATAAAGTTGAACAGAACCATAAACGACAGGAAGTCGGTAAACATTTTCAAAACCTAAACAAAAGAAATAGTTCATGCTGATTATATGCACAGTTCCATCAAGCAAGTGTAATATAAACTTTGTATCTTTTAATTTCAATGCTGAAAGCACTGCTCTTCCCAACGACACTGTATCATTGGTAAACATTTTCACAGTACATGAAAACAACATTTACAACACCCTGAATTTTGTCACTATTCTTCAGTGAATGTACCTTGACTTAACACTTTTCACTTCCTTAAGTTCTCTGCTCCTCCCACCCCCCAATATGAATGTAGGCACCCATTATGTTCCTATCATGACATATCACAAGCTCATAATATATTAACATGTCAGACCTTCTTGCCCAATTGCTTAAAACTCTTAACCGAACAGTTAAAAGCAAGGATAGATGCCTAGGGTTAAAACAAAAAATTCTAACATTTCTTAAACATTTAATGGCTTGGGGCTACCATACAACCAAGAGAAAACCCAAATACCAAAGGTATCATTATCTGAGCAGCATTTCAATAAAGGGTGTCTCTGTTACAATGTGCTAGGGTTAAAATTTACAGCATAAAACAAATTACCTTCAAAGTCTCCCGCTCTTTCTGGGTCTTTTGGTTATACCAAGGTTCATCGTTATATGGAGTACTTTGCCAAACATACTTTAGAGTAGTGCATACTGCAGCTTTGGTCAGTAAGATAAATAAATACACAATCAGGAAGGCATTAATGGATCTGAAAAATAAGATACTATGGATTTAAAAACCATTTAATTACTTAAGATATCAACCAGGTATAAACTAAACTGTTCAGTTTTCTAAAGCTTCTCCTGTGTACGATGTGTAACCATAGCACAGACCTGTATGGATGAACCTGTTATCACTGCTAACGCATTATTCTTGAGTGGTAAAATGGAAAAGCCAGCCCTAGCCCCAACCCAAAGTGCAATGGCTCAACACACCTGTAGTAAGGATCCTATAAAGTGACAGAAAACACACACACACACACACACACACACACACACACACACACACACACACACACACACACTACCTACTCCATCCTTATAGAAGGAGTAGATTGTTTCCATTTCCCTGAATCCTAAAGGTTTGGGATAGAGGGTAGAGGAGCAAATGTGAAATCTGCAAGCTTAGTGTGGATTCTTTTAGTCTGAAAGTAGAGCTATGGAGAGGGTATCACTGATATACTGGATATCCATGCCAACAGGAGAGTGAGGTCTGTGCCAGTGGTGACTGGCTTGAAGGTGTATGTCATGTACCACTTCAATATCTGCCAGGAGACTATTATCTGTGTCGTACAACCTCCTTACATATAGCAACAAGAGGACGCCAAACCATTATCCAGCAGCAAAAGAGAATAAATTTCAACTAAATCCTGCCCTTGAATAGCTAAGTGAGCGTAGGTAAATCACTTATCATCTCTACGACTATTTCTCTAGCTATAAAATGGACAGGCTAACAGGAATTACTCTGAGTTGCTCAGAGGATTAAACCAAATCAGACATACAAATCACTGAGCAGTTTCTGGAACACAAAAAGTACTCAAAATGGTAGCACTATTACAATTTATGTTGTTTTTGCTTATGGTTGTTATGTAGAATTACTGAGAAGTAACAATTTCGGTTCAATAACAACTAAAGAAATTGTGGTTGTACACTAACTTTTCAACAGCAGAACGTTTCTGAGATTTCCCTTGGTAGTTCAATGCCATTTTGGTTTCCATTCCAGTGTAAACAGCAACTCCTAAGGAATAACAATATGATGAAAATTAGGTTTCAAATGAGATTGCCAACCCAACTCCCCACCCAGTTGGATCTACCAATTTTTTCACTCTATAAAAGTAGGAATTCTAAACTCTCTTCTATTCACCAGTTGATATATCATTTATAGTATAATTTTAATTCTACATAGTTTGTCATAGTTTTCAAGTTAGTTTACCATCTTATAAATTCCCAACACCTAAAAATAGGCTTAGATTAAATGGAATTAAATGCCATGTTAATTTTTAACTGCACTATTTAGGCACAGGCTTTAAAAGACATATTTCTAGTAAGTATATCTTAAAAAACGTTCACCATATATCTTCTTGGTATTTTTTAGTGTAGCTCCTTTCAACAAGAGATTTTCAGGTCCCAAAGACCTAGACAAAAAATGAACACAACTTATCCAAACAGCCCAACAAATAGCACCATCAACTTTGGCGACATATTTTGCCCTAACATACATCTATCTCCAAAAGGTTCAGAATGTATCTGTTTACTTATATCATATGCTTACTAACACAGGACCAGCTGAAAGATATTTCCCTCTGAAGTTACCTGAGGGTACAGCACAGATGGAAGCACACACAGCACAGGAGTAGCCAGCAACACACAGAGGTAAAGAGATGCATAAAGATAAAAGGATTATGAGTCACAGACAGCAAGACAAGAACGGGACAGAACACCAGACATCAAGAAACAGAAAGAAAAGGTGACAGTAAAAGGCTGGGAAAGCAAATGTCAAGGTGGGAAAGACACACTGCCATTTTTATAGAGAGTAACACGCCTTTTGGGGGATCATTGGGCACCCGGTGTTTCTTTAACTTCCTTTTGAGTATTGGCTATAAAGGCCAAGTGGAAAAGTTGAGATAATTAACTGGATGATAGAAGAGGGAAGAAAACACCCCTTCTTCCATGAATTATTACATTATAAATGATTAAACCTTTCATTTTACTTAAGTCCAGCTAATTCTCCCAGCATTTTATCTCCTGCCTAGTCCCTAAATTACTCTCCCTTAACACACTGTTCTCCAGATATACTTCCAACATTGTCAGGCACTGCACAGCCAAGGACAATAAATACAGTACTTAGAACATATTTGGGATTATTGGTCAAAGTGTCTGGAGCTCTACAATTTTAGAAACCCTCAGCATCACTTCCAACACCACCCCCCTCCCAGGACACACACACTCTGAGCTGCTACCAATCACAAGGTCAGCTACTTAAGACCCATTAGTGGCTAGTTACTCCAGGGTTATTCACCTTTACATCCCTTTCTATAGAGGAAAGTATTCAACTATTTTAATGGGCTTAAAAGAGAAACATTGCTCCCCCCCAAAAGGACAGATTAAAGGAATTATAAACTAACCTGGCAACAGCTTCAAGACTATTACTATAGATACTGATTCGGCCAACAAACCTGCAAAAAGAACATAATAGCACACGTGTCTTCTATATCTAGATAAAATCTATTTACCCCAAATATGGGAATGAATCAAAATACAAAAAATGCAAGAAGAGATAAGACAATGAACTACGAACGCCTATTGTCTTTCTTTTTAAAAAAAGTTAAGTTGAACCAATATGGTATGTAACATTTTAAAAATATTATGGATAATAAGAATGTGAACAAAGATTCTAAACTGACTTTCAAGATCTACTTGGCATGATTTTTTTTTTCTTTCCCTTTGTCCTGATCCTTCCTGCCCATTAGTTATCTTGAAAACATTAACAACAATCACATACTAAGGAAGATGGAGCAAAAACTAGAAGAAGCCTCATTCTCTGATGATGTCAGGAAAACTCATATCAATAGTGAAGTTCCTACCCCTAGTATTCTTTTATGTGCAGCAATAATAATAACAATAATAAATATTAATTTTGTGTAATCTATTGTTTTTCAGGACTCTCAGGTGAGATGCAATTTTGAACAAATATAATACCTATATTATTTGGAAAAAAAAAAAAAAGATCTACTTGGCGCCATGCATGCACACATTACCCCTCTCATCTATACTCCATATAAATAATTGGTTTCTATTTCACATTCATGTGAAGAAAGGATTCTGGTGCTAAAACAACTTTTAAAACCATTAGTTCAGTAGTTCTTTCACTTGAGCATGCATCAGAATTACTGGTGGGCTTCTTAAACCACAGATATCTGGGCCCCATCCCCAAGCTTATGGTTCAGGTAAGAATGTGAATCTGTATTTCCAACAAGTTCCCAGGCGATGCTGATGCTGCTGGCCTGGGAGCACCGTTTGAGAACCACCTGCATTAGGGAACACTTGATTACCATCTTGGAAATTTCCAAACTGTCTTGCAGCTGATCTGAATACTGAGCTTGATCTGACCAAGTGATCAGATATATGGCTATGCATATGGTAATCTACATTTCTGAAGAATAGGGTAAAAAGCTCTAAATCCTCCTTAACAAGAATGTTATGAGTATTTTATAACTTACATTAGAATTTTTTCAGAAAAATTGATTATTACTAAACACACAAAGTATGAAGGCTTGCTCATTCATTCATCATGTATTAGTTGCACCATTACTATGCTTGCTAATAAGCAAGAAAAATGTGTTCCTTGCCCTAAAACAGACAATCAGGCAATTACAATGTAAGTGATGACCGCTAGGGTGGTGGAAGTACAAGGTATTCTGAAGTCACATACCAAGGATACTCAATCTAGTCTAGAGAAATTAGGAATAACCTTCCCTCACTAAAAATCTCCTTCATATTTAAGGTAACTGAAATTTAGGAGTTACCCTATAAATATGCAAGGATGTATATTATTGTCTAACTCAGGCAAAATCAGTCACTCCCTTTACTGTGATTCTATGGGCCTTTTACTCACCTTTATTATCTCACTGTACTGTAAGCCTAGCTTTACTGTTTTACCCCCTTTGCAAACTGTGAGTTCCCTAAAGGCAGGGAACAGCTATTTTGCTTTGTGATTCTAAGTTCCTACTATCAAGGTAGATACAGAAGAAGAAGGGAAAAAGGAAAGAAGGAATGATGGGAAGGAGGGAGGGTATTATTCATGTAGTAGGATGAATACTTTGTTTTTCCACTACTGGGAACTGTTGTAAGCCACATCCCGCCATTTGGTCCCCTATTATGACCAAACAGCATTCATTAACCAGATGGCTGGCATGAGTGATGGATGCCATCTGTAAAGGTGGAATAGAATATAATTAATTGGCCCACTTGGGGATAAAACCTATTATTCTATCCTCATTAACACCATGCTCTAATCAACCAAAATAACCAGTCTTAAAAATCAAATGCCAAACTTTTTGACAACCCACAATGACTGTGAATGAGTAAATCTACTCCAGAAAGCCTAACTATAGCAAAATAGAGGAAATCACACCATTTCACTGCTCCCTCAACTTAACTGTTCACTTTGGACAAGAAACAGCCTATATACAATACTCAGTTCATCATGATCCTCATAAAAAAGGGCAAAGTGCCTACTAATTGCATGGCTCCATATCTCCTTCTCTCTTTAATGTTGGATGACACATAAAGTGGTTTATTTTTGTTTTAATTAACTCTGGCTAATGCATGAGTTTGATAGATCGGCCTTACGGGATTACATAATCTTAAAATGTGATGGACGGCCATGTCTACAAATAACAATAATAAAAGAAAAACCACAAGTAAGATGCCTGGGCCCACAATGATTTATCTTAGGCTGGTAGTGAACAAGACTGATTTGATTCATTTGCCTGCCAGAAGGAAGGAACAGCTCATAAAAACACAAATGCAAGGAGGCTGGTAAATGGTGGGTGTTTCTTTGCAATACTGGTGGCAAAGAGAAGCAAAGCCATCAGACAGCAGTAAAATGAAACCAGGTAATTCTTACTTGTAGAGGTCAGGTTGAGGCTGTTCACATTCAATTGCTGCTCTGAGGGTATCAATGGATTCAGCTGTACACAGTTCAATGGTGTCACGTACTGCATAATGTGTCTAGATGTAAGCAGAAGAAAAAGCAAAAACAGCCCCCCCCGCAAAAAAAAGTGTAATCGTATACCCACTTGATTTCATGAACACTGTATGTTTTTAGTAAGAGGCTTTGGCAGAATGATACAAATATTGATGCACATTTCCAACTAAATAAACTTGATGGTATTATTCTTAAAATATATTACAAATAATTAGAAAGGTAACTCTGCTACAAGGGGATTTCAAAGATAATGAGAAAACTAAAAACTTTTCTTGATACTGACAGCAGAGAGAATTCCATTTGCAGCATGCATATAATTAACTGAAAACCCCATGAAAAATTTAATGCATTTTTTTCCTCCTATTTATAGAACTGAGACCTATTATTTTGCTCACCATAGTGTATGGTGATGTTAACATACACATAAGAATTGAACATAACCCTTTTGGTCATAAGAATGCTAACATTTTTGCTAACAGAAAGAAAAAATTCATCAGTAGTTTCCATTATGCAAACAGCAAAATTAATGATCTTGAAAATGCTTCGAGTGGCTACAATTTATGTAAGGAGCTGGGAGATGGTGTGTCTTGCCTTAGTCAGACAGTTAGAATATTCTACTAATGTATATTATGTACTTACTTGATTGACCCAGAACTCAAGGCAGGCTCCAATGAACCCATTTATAAATCATCAAAGAAGGGCTGACGCAGATTCAAAGACTGCACCACTTATGCTGAAGGGAAGGCTGTTGTGCACAGTCTTTGGAGAGTATTATGGATCTGCCTCAGCTACATTTGAAACTATCTCCTGACTTGGAAAACCTATGTACTTTTAGCTGATTTATCAGATCAACTTAATTGGAAAATGAAACCACTTGAAAGTTTTCTGCCTCTAAACAACTTTTTCCCTATTGGGAAATCTTTAGGTAGATTTCTCGATTTTTATCTTGACATTCCCTCAAATACAACTTTGTTTTTTAGTAGTTTGAATGGGACTAGTTCATCACCATGCCCCTGAAGAAAAAAATTAGTTATCTAACAGGCATTTAAGTTCCTTTCCCACATACTGAGTCCTGGTCCTCAACTCCAGATGGAATAAACAAGCAGAGGAAAGCCCCCAAGGATACACACAGAGGTGAGCACATTAGTATTCTTCCTTAAAGGCAGCATATAGAGGATATATGTTCATGCTCTGTGGAGCTCTGGATGATAGCCAAGAACTGACAGTGCCGGAAAGTACCAGGGATGTAACTTATCCCCCAGTTTGAACAAATTTACTCTAACACATTTATAATTCTTCCTAGTTGAAATAAAGCAAATATTTGTCAAACTACCCCCTAAGGTATTTTTAAAAAGTAATCAAACCATTCCAGGTTAGATTTTCTATATGCCAGGAATAAACATTTTTTTCAAGAAGATAGTCATCACTTTAAAAATAAAAACAGATCAAACAACTGTAAGGTTAGAGTACCTTAGGGTGAAGTTATTTTCATAGTTATATAGTTTCAGCCTAAGACTACTTTCATTTTTAAAAGCCTAAATAAAACACTGAATGGGTCAGTGTCAATATGAAATGCAAACAGTGCTATCAAAAATGTGGTGGCTTTTATTTGGGGTGTGGATTTCCTCACCCAACACCACCCTTTCCCCCAAAGTTGAGTATTTGCTTATAAGTTCAAAGATAGTTATATAAAAGCTGTCTTCAAATACAACACTTACACAAACAGGAAAAAATAAGATAAAAGATTAGGGGGCAGTGGGATAGAGTATTGTATGATTAACTATCCTGAGCTCAAAATGTTTAGGAAAGGTTTAATCTCCATTACCTTGCAATTGGATTCCCCATCAAGACTTGCAGTAGTAACATAACAGGTTCCATCAATTGTGCAGGATGATAGAAGAATAAGATCACAGGGAAAGGTTTCATCTGCCTGTACTTCTACTACATCACCGACCTAGCATAGACAGCAAAATAAATATAAATATTCTTAATTCCAAACAAAGCATTCATTATACCTCAAACTAAAGTCAAAACAGTAGCAAAACACCTCTCCTCCTCTAGGGCTTAGACTGTCTCAGCATCCTATACCATGTGAAAGGTGATGAAAGAATGAAATCACTCAACATTCAGAATCCTCTTTAAGGTTACAATGACTTAGGATGCTTTTAGATTACCTTAGTATTGAACTTTAATCTCTAACAAATGATTTCAGCACCCAGGGACCCTTTTGCTCTCTGTTGTTTCTGGCATTGGTGTTTGATAAGAGAATGGCCATTATCATTTCATGAATGAATCAAGAAAATCTACACATCTTAACTTGAGCACTTCATGAACACTGGTCAGCCACATTCCCACTCTGCATCATAGATAAATATTTCAAAATGCTTTGCCTTCCAAGTGATAACAGCTATTATTTTGGGGTCATAGCTCTCTCTTCAGTGCTCAGAAAATCTCACTTAGAGAGGTGTTTATGTTACCCATAACATTTGAAAAAACTTTTTTCAAATAGGTCATTTTCCAACAATTCATCTGCTATGAGCAAGTACCCAAAGCTCAAGTAGAGGAAAAACATGAGAGAAGAAACCACGAACCAATTCTAGCGTATAACTTAATAATGTAGGAAATAAATCATGAGGATTAAAACACAGATCTTCACTACTTGACTTTATGTCCCAGCTCTGCCACTTAACTATATGACCTTAGGTTAAGTGTCTTTGATGATTGCAACTACCTCATAGGATTGGCTGGAGTATGAAATGAGGATACAGGTAAAGTGTTTCGTAAACTGCCTGGCATATATTCACCCTCTGGTAGTTGCTAATTATAATTATTACTAATACCCTACAACTGCTTTACTTCCAACTTATGAATAGTCATAAAATTTTTTTAGAAGGATGTAAGAAATTATCCAGCCCAGTGCATTCCAACATTTTTCATGTCGTGGCACACACAGAAAACGATAAGTAACCCTTTTGTACAGCACTTCCAGATAAAGGGAGGAGGCTGCTGGTGACAGAAGACAACTCACTTTAGGAGAGAGTCAGTCACAATATCTGGCTCACCAACTCTGGCACACTGGTTGTGAAATGCTGAACTAACAAATGACACACCTGCCTTCCAATTGCTACACACAATTTGGTAGATGAAGATGAGGATTTCAAGGTCTATTCAGGAATAATTTTATTTTCTTTGCCAATCTTAATCAGTAGCCAAGAGCAACAGCATCAATAATGTAACTAATTTGTAAATAATATTTTATTTTCTTGGATCTTTCCTTCCTCACATACACAAACACTTTTGTTGCTTACACAAAGCCACAATCTATGCTTAAATACACAGAAGAAAAATAACAAACAAAATCCTAAAGCATCTTAGAAGAACGGAACATGATTCTCAGGCACTGATAAATAAAAACCACAAACAGAATTTCTTCTGCAACATTGATAATGATTCGCTCAGATATGAAAAGATCCCTGCACCTGGAGTGCAAGTTAAGGCTGGTAAGATGGACAGGGCCAGATCACAAAAGTCCTGACAGGTCAGGGTCAGGGGTTTAGGCCTCACCCTGAAGGCAAGGGGAGACTGGGAAAGGACTTTTAAAGAAAGGGAACAACATGGTCCAGTTAGACAATCAACTCTAGAGTTGTTTCCACTTAGCATGTACAAAGCCACAAGAGAACATCACTATCTCTTGTCATAAATATTAGGAAAAGCCAGATAATCAACAGAATCATATATTTTTGGAGTTCATCAGAGAGCTGAGGTTGCAGGGCAACCAAATGAACTGAATTTCAAGGGTGAAAAGTCCCTCTGAGGAGAGAGAGGAGAAATAAACTGTTTCACAATTGACGAAGCACAGGAGGAAGAGACGACTGCCATAAAAGTGCCTAGGAAGAAAATAACTAGATTTTTAACCAACTGTAAAAGGCTTGGTAGGGGCCAACGTGACAGTTTCAAACCTCTGCAAGCCTGAGAGAAAAGAGGAGACCATAAGCACATATCAGTTCTTCTCTATAGGCATCCACTGAGTGCTCATGAGATAGCATGAGGACAGGAGGCCTAAAACAGCCTTCCTCACTGGTACAGGCATACAGGTTGTGAATGACTGCTGTGGAGGAACAGACATAAAATATGCTACAACTGTGGACCCTTCTCTCATATGAGGTAAAAGCCATCTGTGCCTAAGAGAAAGGCAAGAAACCCTCCCGGGCACAGTCTCAATTCACGGTAATGTAACTACTGCTAGTGGGGAGATAGAAGCAAAGCCATCTGCTGCTGGGGATGGGACAGGAAACCCCCTCATATTGAGGACCTAGCACTGATAAAAAGGAGAGTACTGAGAAAGTTCCACGCTGAGGCAAAGGTGCCTAAAACCTGCCTAATACTGAGATGGAGTAGGAGAAACAAGAAACCAGTCTGTTCCCACCAGGAACCCCAAGAAAGAGCAATCTACCACTGGGGGAGGAGAAAGGGCATAGAGAGAGGCATTCACTGTGTCTCAGGAATGTAGGCCCTGCTGAAAGCAGAGAATGGAACAGGGACACTGAGAAAACCCCTGTGGCAGCCCAGCACTGCAGGCATTTAAAGTCCAGTGGTGTACTGAAAGCATCAACAGCTAGAGCAAAATCCAAAGCCAGCCAACTCCTTACCAGACTGACTCAACCCCCAACACTGATGGGCTGGCTGACAGAATAGGTGTGCCCACTACAGACCACAAATACAGGTTACCTGCCTAGGTCTCCAGCCTTCTTTTACATGCACTGCCCAAAATTCAATAAAAAAAAAAAAAATGAGATGCACAAAACCAAGAAAAAAATGACCTATTATCAAAAGATAAAGGTGTCAATAGGACCAGCCTCAGAAATACTCAGATTCTGGGGCTTCCCTGGTGGCGCAGTGGTTAAGAATCCGCCTGCCAATGCAGGGGACACGGGTTCGAGCCCCGGTCTGAGAAGATCCCACATGCCGCAGAGCAACTAATCCCGTGTGCCACAACTACTGAGCCTGCACTCTAGAGCCCATGAGCCACAACTATTTAGCCCACGTGCCACAACTACTGAAGCCTGCGTGCCTAGAGCCTGTGCTCCAAAACAAGAGAAGCCACCACAATGAGAAGCCCGCGCACCGCAACAAATAGTAGACCCTGTTCGCCGCAACTAGAGAAAGCCTGCGCGCAGCAACAAAGACCCAACACAGCCAAAAATCAATAAATAAAATAAATTTAAAAAAAGAAATACTCAGATTTTGGAATTATGAAACAGGGATAGAAAAATAGCTATGATTAAGATATTAAACTATTTACTGGAAAAGGTAGACAACATACACATGCAGATGAGGAATTTGGGCATAAATATGGAAACTCCCAAAAAAAGGCAATTGGAAAAGTTAGAAATGAAAAACATGATATCAGAGGTAAGGATTTCCTTCAATGGGCTTATAAGCATACCGGATACAAAGGAAATAATCAGTAAACCCGAAGAAACTCTTCCAATATTTCTAATGCCAAAACCCATAATCTTTCCCTTACAAATACCTGTGTTTTTCCACTGGAATTCCTCAAGGCCTGTTTCTCTTCTCTATGTTTTATGTGATTCCATCCAAATTTCTATATCCACCTAAAACATCTCTGAGCTCCAGGCTTGACAATTCCATCTGGCTGTCTAATAGGAATCTCAAAATTAACATGGCCTGGGACTTCCCTGGTGGTCCAGTGGTTAAGACTCTGTGCTCGCAATGCAGGGGGGCCAGGATCGATCCCTGGTCAGGGAACTAGATCCCGCATGCCACAACAAAGATCCCGCACATGGCAACGAAGATCCCACGTGCCGCAATTAAGACCCAGCGCAGACAAATAAATATTAAAAAAAAAATTAACATGTCCCAAGCTGAATTCCTGATTTCCCTTCATCCCCACCTTTTCCCCCAAACCTATTCTTCTCCAGCTTATTTAATAGCACCAGCATTTTTAAAAAATTAATTAAGTTTGGGCTGTGTTGGGTCTTCATTGCTGCACGTGGGCTTTCTTTAGTTGCGTCGAGTGCGGGCTGCTTTTTCTTGTGGCGCGCAGGCTTCTCATTGTGGTGGCTTCTCTTGTTGCGGAGCACGGGCTCTAGGTGCACAGGCTTCAGTAGTTGTGGCATGCGGGCTCTAGAGCTCAGGCTCAGTAGTTGTGGCACACGGGCTTAGTAGCTCTGCGGCATGTGGGATCTTCCTGGACCAGGGCTCGAACCCATGTCCCCTGCATTGGCAGGCGGATTCTTAACCACTGCGCCACCAGGGAAGCCCCTAGCACCAGCATTTTGTTTAATAGCACTATTTAATGCACCTAGTTGCTCAGGCCAAAATCAAGGAGGCTATCTTTATTCTATTTTGCTCTTTTTCTCCCTCCTTACATGGAATACATCAGTAAGTCCACACTTTACCTCCGAAAAACATCCTGAATACATACATTTATTTTGATCACGAGACAGGAGAGACAAAGTTGTGCTTACAAGCATGGATGCCATACCCAGACTTGCTTCAATTCAAATCCCAGCTTTCCCACTTACTAGTTGTGGACAAGTTTCTTAACCACCCTATGCCTCAGTTTCATCATTTGTAAAGAGGAGATAACAAAAGTACCTATTTCATAGGACTGCTGTAAAGTAAGGATTAAATGAGTTAATAGAATGTAAAAGGGAGTGCCTGGCATATTTATGTAACATATAAATGTTAACAACTATTTTTACTGTTATTATCTCTTCTACTATCATTCTAATATAAGCTCTTATCATCATTTGCTTATACTACGGCAGTAGCCAACTAACAGGTTTCCCTCATTCTACTTTTGCTCATGCCTCTACTGTGCTCACTCTCCAGAGTTGTCTTTTCTTAAAAAGTAAGATCAAGTCACCCCCTAGCTTTGAAAAACCCTTCAAAAAATTCCCAATGCACTGAGGATACAGAATAAGTCAC